CAGGAATGCAAAGAACATTTAATCTCTGATTCTAATATATTAAGTGCAGTACCATTATATAATACCAACATCTGTCTCATTTATGTTCAGGAAGTCTGGCTTTCTTTTCTAGGTGGAAAACAGCAATATCCATTCCTTTTCATATTGTACAGCAAACAAGACAGTCACTGCAGTTTCAGAGGGGACGGGAGAGGAGTTTTGCTTACTCTACCAGTACAGTTGTCAAACCTCTATTCTAAAATACTAGTTTTCAAGACAGTGCTTTATGACGAGCCCTTTGAGGAATAACATCACACACAAATCCTAGAACGTTCAGCAGTTTTTGTTAATAGATGTTAAGAGCTGTTTCATATTATAGTCCAATTAACTACAAAATGAAGTGCGCTATTTGTCCCTAGGATCGCATTCAGGAGCTTAGCAGGCAGACCAACGTGCCAGATGGTGAATACACTGCAAGATCAGTGAAGAGTGAATCCCTTTTTTGTCTGGCTTCAACATTGTTTTCAACATCCTGTATTACAAAACCTAAGTGGTACACAAGTCAATCTAACAAAGATTGGTTTTTAAGTACAACAGATAACTATTTGCAAAATCTGTATTCTCTTTTTACAGTAAAAGCTACGTTCAGCTTTGAGGCACAGCTTCTATATGGTACGTGTGCATGTTCTGAGAGGGGCGAGGGAGAGAAGGGGGGAAGAGCAGGGGAGAGAGACAATCTGAAAGCAGCTTATCTAGATTTAGTATGACAATTACTTTTGCACAAGAGCAGATTTTAGAGCATAAATTAAAACAAAACCAAGGATGTTTGAGTTTCAGTGAGTGATGAGTGAAAAAAAGCATGAGGTATTTAATAAAAAGGAAGAAATAGGAGAATCAAGCCAAGAAGCAGTGGGCATATTTAACAATGCTATCTATGAATTCCAGTTTCCTAGCCATAAAAAGGGTTAAAAGAATAATGTCCATCACTTGATAGAAGTGCTATGCTAAGAAAAACAATTATTTTTCATGAACATTTAGGTGCTACAGCTAGAAGCCACTCAAAGAAGTTCATGAAAAAGTCGATATGTATATTATTAATAATAATTAATAAGCCAAATTTAAACAGGGTACAATACAATTTGCACCTGACAAACAATAAAGGAACAGCTGTTTGATCTGTGAGCAATAGCCACCTATGGACTTCAAGGAAGCACACTGTTCTGATTAAAGATTCTGTTACAAGTAGGCAAAAAAGGGAGATTTTTACAGATAAGGTTAATTCTGATGTTTTCTAGCTTTGAACACATCTCAAACTCTGGTCTCTCTACCTCTGTATTAAAGCTGTAAGTACATGACTTAATATATTCTAAAAGCACATGCAAAAAC